AGAAGACTTCTATAACATCGAATGCTATCGCTAAATATATCCGTCAAGTTAAATTTCTTACACGAGTAGTTGGCATCTCAAAACCACGCATTGGACAAAAGAGACATAAGAGGACAACTGACAAGAATTCCAAATAATATCGTTGCTTTTTAATCGACAAAACGTACCTTGATTAAATTTCGGGAATATTTGAATAAAAACAATGAACGCATTGTAACGGTTAAATCAATAATCGATCAAAGACCTAACGGTTATTATCCGGACATACCGACAGTGTCGAACACATCCCGACCTATAGACGAACATAAACAGCCAATAATGAGTGATATAAGAAAAGGCATTTTGAATAGCCAATCAGAAAGCGGCTTAGTTCAGCCAACGCCAGGGTCATCTCCCCGACGACCGCCATCTTGAAAAGGAGTCGGCCGAGATGGCCCTGGGGACGAGGTTGCCCGACGACCATCTTGAAACGGAGTCGGCCGAGATGGCCCTGGGGACGAGGTTGGTGAAGACTCTGGGCTCGAGATTGGCGTGAGATAGCATACCGCTGTCCATACCGCTGAGTACCGCTGACATTAGCTCGAGTGGCAAGGTAGGTGCCTGTTGCGTGTTTAAAGCTTCTTCTTGTAGTAAAATATCAAGGAATCTTGTGATGAGTGAAAACAAGCCATGGAGGGAGTCTGTTCAAGAGAAAATGCAGGATCTTCTCGACTGTTTTCAAAAAAGGGAGGCAGAATTAACTCGATTGGCGGAGCAATTGGAACATCAACGAAATGAGCTGGAGAATGAGACAATGAAGAGAAAGCGAGCAACGGACCAGGACATAACAGAACAGTACAGACAGTTGGATGACGAGAAACGCCGTTTTGAGACGGAGTTAAAGCGAATGGCGGACACCAAAGAATTCCAGTCGTCACGCATCCAATTGGATATCGGTGGACATAAGTACACGACTTCTTTGAGCACTCTGAGGAAAGATCCTGACTCAATGTTGGCAGCAATGTTTTCAGGACGCCATCAACTCGTCAATGAAAGTGATGGTAGCTACTTCATAGATAGAGACGGCACCTATTTTCGTTACATATTAAACTATCTTAGGGATGATTTCCAAGTTGATACATTCCCTAAAGACGAAGTTACTTTGAAAGAGATTCAAAATGAAGGAAGATATTATCAACTTCTTGGGCTTGTGGGTGCAATAGAGGAATTACTAAATCCGCCTCCACCTGCACCAGATTTTACTCAAGAAGAAATAAATGACATGATTGCTACTGTTTCTCGTCAAACTGACGGGCAACTAATCTCGCCATCCATAAGTCCTGGCAGACATATAGACTTTATTTTTCATCACATGACAAAAAGTAACATTGATTTCAGTGGCAAAAATCTGTCAGGTCTCACCTTTGCACATACAACATTTGCTCACAATGTTTCCTTTGTGAATTCAATGCTAGTAAATACATGTTTCTATGGCTGTGAATTTGCAAGCCATGTTGTTGTTGATTTTTCAGGTGCTGATGTCTCTGGTGCAGATTTTAGGCAATGTAGATGTGTACAGGGTGGCCCAAATGCATTTGGAGGGCAAAGTACATCAAGCATTCAAGGGGGAGGTGGAGGGGTTATGTTTGGCTCCAGTTGCTCAAGTTTTATTCAGTTGATAAGAATGAATCAAGTGAAGTTTTTAGGTGCTAAACACATTGGGACCAAGTTTGATCCAACTATTCTTGATGTAATTAAATTTTAGGTGGAAAATGGTCTTTTACATTTAGTAAAAACACTTGTTTTTGGTGTCATTGACTCTTTTAAAGTAATAGATTGTTTATGGAATAGCATCTACTCATAGTTAAATAACAATTTGTTTTTTAAAAAAGATGAAAGTATCACAAAACATGAAGCATTTAAAAATGATTTCCAAAGAATTTCATAAAAATATCAGTATTTTAACTCTACTCAAAAGAAATAGTGTATATTTTGCAAGACCTGAGTATTTTCAGAATTTTATCAGTCTCCTTCACGGTTACCTGCACCATCTTGAAAGGTAGCCGTGCCTTTGCATCGAAGCGAGACGACCGTTGAGTGTGCAATGATAGAAATTTTCTTTCACACCTACAGACAATTATTCACAGGTTTCTATCATTGCACGCTCAACGGTTGTCTCGCTTCGATGAAAAGGCATGGGCTACCTTTCAAGATGGCGCAGGTAACCGTGAAGGAGACTATTGTAGTGACCATTCTCTTGGGGAAAATACTCTGTTATTTAGAGTTTTAGTAACAATGTTGGGATAAAATCAAATATTTATAAGAGTAAATAAAGAATGCCCTATTTCAAAATGACATCACATTAAAACATTCTATTATCAGAATAAGGATTATGGTCACCAGGTCAGATCAGAGGGACTTCATATCACAATAAATGTACATGAGCAATTGAAACAGGATGCATGAAAGTTTTACTTTTGGAGTGAAGTAAATTGAATGGGCTCAGATTTCAAGGGCAGATCTAGGGAGGGGAAAAGTGGGGCTGTAGCCCATTTTTTCAGCATAAAAGGTTAACTGTTTTCAATTTTCCCATTTATCCCCACTTAAGACCATTTAGCCCCTTAAAAATTCAGCTGGATCCGCCATTGAATTTTCCTGTTTTTGATCATCTTTCCCCAATGTAAACATATGGGGTTAGTTTTGAAACTTGAAAAAAGCAGTACTTTGGAATCAAGGGTATCAAAGAGTTTTGAAAAAGCCCCTTAGGTCAAATCGASTTATCAATTGACGAGACTATCACTCGATCAGCTATTTTATTTTAGCAGTTTGAATATACTAGATTATTTTAATATGCATTTTTTTAAATATAAAGGACTGTTATTTACCTAAATAAGAAGAATTACTCAAATTATAAATACTTTAAGTTCAGTCAGTTGTGTAATTCCAGAAATAATCAATGTTCTTTTTGACTCAAGCATATATAAATATATCAGTTTATTATTGGATGTTATTGCCAAACATTTTTTCAGAAGTAAATAAATAATTTTTTTTTTCAGAAAGTACTTTGTGCTGAACAACTTTTAAAAAATATCAGCAATTATATCCCATGATTTCTGGTATATTTTTTATATACAATCAATCATAATTTCTTCGTATAGTGCTGTACATTTGTAAGTTTTCCTTATATTCAATTCAATTTTTATTTTACACATATATACTTATTTTACAAGGTAATTAATCTATTGAATTAGCTATGGGGAATTGCATGTTTGCTATAGGTCTAGGGGAAAGTGTAGCTATCGAGTTAGGGACGACCCATTAGAAAAGTGATGGGGGGTTAGGGGCAAAAGCAAAAAAAAAAATATTTCAATGAAAATTTTGGAAAAAAAAGTCTGCCTTGGCATTTTGTCAGAAAAAAAATCTTGCCATGGAAAGGATTGTATGTATATCCAATAATTCTGTTAAAAATATATATTGCAGCCAGCACAGAAGTCMAAAAAAATTTTTTTTTCTACTTTTCATATTAAAAAATATATATATATGACYCAAAAAAATTCCCCTACCCCCCCATCACTTTTCCAATGGGTCGTCCCTTAGCCAGTACGTACTGTCTATTGCAAGCGAGCTTAGGGCTCTTTTTATAAGATGAATACAAACATTAAATTTAACAAGAATAAGCACATAAACTTATGTTATAATTTCTTCAGGAATAAAAATACAAATATACCAAAGGAAATGAAAAGGGTTTTAGCTATTAAAATATTGACAAATATTATATAAATGAACCATCATTATTATTTTATTAGAGTGTGTAGTACAGATATTGATTCATAACTTTTTCAAAGATGTTTTACGAGGAAAAAGGAAAAAAAGAACTAAGGTAAAACATAACGTCCTTGATGGGACTTGAACCCACAATCTTTGGTTCCGGAGACCAACGCCTTATCCATTAGGCCACAAGGACATGCAACGTCCAAAGTTGTGTCAAAATTTAATGTATATCCAAATTTGTTACCAGCTCGTTCTCAAATCTTGGGAACACATCACCTTAGTAAGTTGTGGAAAATTTGCGAAGAAGGAACATCACTGGGTGACACAAATATGCGTTTTCGAGCTAAAATAGTGGAAATATCATGTATACAAAGACTCACACGTATGTTGAGCTGCACCTTGCCGCTTCTTAACTTGAGCTTACCTCTTTCAGTTTCAATGCGAGCTAGATCAAAGTGCATACATGTCGCTTTCGGCTTAATTTGATCTTTTTAATGATTTCAGATGTCTTTTCAACGCTGTCTCGCATGGCAAAGGTCTGTGTGCTTCTTCTTACCCCGTCTAAATTGTGTTTCATTTTTGCTGAAACAGCGGGGTCGTGTGGCGGTGTGTCAATATGGAGTGAATTGACTCAGGTTAGGATTGCAATATTTGTGCAATTTTGCATTTGTTGGCAGATGTACCTTATGCTCCACCTCTAATGATCGCGTTATGACCCTGGAGTGACTATCTATAAGATGTTTTATTGATATCCTAAGTTATATGTCTATTAGATGTACTGATATTACCCTATATTTCAAAACAGTAAGAGAGGACTGATTAGTGACTATTAGATGTAATTACTGATATTATCCGATAATAAAGCAATATCAAGGGGTTCAGACAGGAAGACATCTAGTGACAAGGAAAAGTAATATAAATAAAGGATAATATCAAGATATAATTATCGGATATCCGATATTGTGTGGATACCRCACCTTACTCTATAAAGGGGAAGATATTTGATTCGAGATGAAGCCTCTCCAAATCACGGAGCCACAGTGACCATGATRTCCCCATGTCAATGTCTTAATTTCCATGTTTTCTTACAGTGTGTGATCATGAGTAGGGGTTCCTGGTCCAATTATGGGATTGGGGCGGAGCGAAACGGGAGAGAACCCTTAACCCTAACCTAACCCTTAACCCTAACCTCTCTCCCGTTTCACTCTGCCCCAATCCCCTTCGAGAGAGCCTGATACTCAGGCTACCTGTGAACAGTATAAATTTCAGATTGTATAGTTTGTAACAATTTTACATATTTACAACTAGACGCTCTTGGAGCGTGAAGTCGGACTAGATGTTTTTGAATGTATATCATGGCGTAGAATATTATATTTTTTACTTCCTATACATAGTGAAAGCTAGAATGTGTGACCATTTATTCACACCATAGGATATCCTTTTCGACTGCTCACTCTGCAACAACTTCAAAACGATAGGAATCTAAATTTTGACCTAAAAGGTCATGTAATTAATACTTAGAGACTAGATGTCTCTAAGTGATATCATATCTAATACGTTTTTAATTCAAATTGTTGACCTCTCAGGCCAAGAAAATAAATAATTTTAAAAAGGTGCCTATAAAATAATCAAAGTCGCCTTTTTGTTATTGATCAACAAAGTTTCTTCTTGTTCTAATTTGAAATCTTTGCCCAAACAAGACTGTCTACCGCTAGAATTCAGTTCTGTAAGCATACTACTTGAAGCTCCATGTGATCCGCACATGCGCTTACTTCTGATAGCTAGACTGATGCATTCTGATGAGATCACAGATACCACATTTGTAAACGAATAGTTTTTTAATCACATAAAAGTAGAATCTGACATTTACTAACGATATATTTGTACATCTATACGTTTGAGCTTCGGGTCATGTAATAACACAGCCAACCCAATAGTTCCAACTTCCGGTGGTCCAAACGCCACATGACACATAGATAGATAGATAGATAGATTGATTGGCTAAAAGGTAAAACTTAAGTCGACCTAGCCTTCGGCTAGTCCGACTAATGAAGTTTCATTTCACTATAACTTTGATATTATTTCATGGTTGAATTTTGTTTTCTCTGTTCCATTTTAGGAAAATATATTTGACGAATATCGTATAGAAGGTGTGGATGAAAGCAACAACATCTTCCTGGAAATGGTACCAGAAAACCTATTGAGGGCTATGAAGTCTGCCACAAATGCACTGTCTGTTAAAATAAAGCTTACCAAGAAGCACACTCCATGTTTGACCTTTGAAATTAACTTAGTAAGTTGTTATGAAAAGATATGATTATGTAGACCACCTAGTAATAAGAAATTCATGAAATAGAGGTCATAGTAATTGAAAAATATAGTGGTTAGAAAAGAGGGTATTTTGGGGAAATATAAAATTCAGGTAATAAATTTTTCTGAATTTACTTCCAACGTTTTTTTTTGCTCAGAATAATCTCCATTTTTGGTAAGTGCTTAAATGCTACAATGTGGCTTTCTTTATGATCAATATAACATGTATTAGAGATTATCATTTATATAATCAGTGGGCCATTTCTGTTCTATACCACTGTTGTATATTAGAAGATGTTAGCATTTTTTACATGCGATACACATGATCAGAGGTTGAAATCCATTTAATCTGTGATAGTTACCTCCCTCATTATATGATCATTAAAATATCTTCAAACTTCAAAAATGTTTGAATTGTATTAACCCTATGTGTTTAGGTTGTATATTCATCTCTTCCTATATACATATAGGAATAGATCCATTGACATTCATGTAACCAATCACTAATTAATACCAATCACATACCAGAACATATTACTAAGCATGATTACACAGTCAAGTAGATTTACAAAACGTAGCAACAATATTTAGATAATACAGAACAAAACTCTAAAATATACAATTATTTATAATTAATTTACAAAAAAACGCTAAAAGCAGATATAGGAATATAAGAGAAAAAGAAAGAAGGAAAGAGTCCATGTTAGCCGTCTGCAAGTGTCTAGTTTTTTTGTGATTATCAAGGGAGAACTGATCAATAATTATATTTGTTTACTATATATATAGCCTTCTCAATCATCACATTCAAGAATTGTTATTCATGATGTACCTGTGGGTGTTATTCCTCAACGAAACTGGGAAGAATATGCTGAACCCCAAATGCCAAACTTTGATGTAAGTGTATACAAACTTTATAATAATAATAAATAAGTTTGTAAAACTCATGAATAATTAATGAGGAAAACACAATAGAAATCACAACCATGAAGAGTGTTGTAATATTTGATACAAAACTGTCTTGATAATTTGCATAAACTTCAAATCTAATTTTCTCAGCCAAATTCAATTTTATCTTTAAGTTTTTAGTAGATTATTTGATTGTATACACCTAGACGTTTCACAAGTAATTTACAACATTCACGTCCATGTTGTATGGGCTTTACAATCTCTCTCTCACATTAATCTTGCTAGTATTGGACCAAACCGTTGAGCAGAAGTACAGTTTGCTGAATACTAGAGATTTGATATCGTTCTCTAAAGTGCTCGAGTCAAGAAGATGCTCGATCCTGTTAATCTGGCATAGATTTGCTATACAAGTAGACGTGGTATTAGTGACGTGTTCATTATAGCCCCAGGGGCTGGGGGGTGTGCCACTGGGACCTCAAAACCCTGACCCTGTAAAATCGCTAAAAACGATACCCAGTTCCAGAGTAAAATCGCTGCCAAACTATACCCTGGTTGGTGGCAAGTCCTTGTATAGTGAATATAGGGGAGTAACCCCCAGGATTATAGCAGAGAGTTGCATCTACTTGTACGCCAAGATCCAGCGCTGAAGCTACTGGTCGGAGCAATTTTCTTTCCCAGTAATGTGATGTAAAAGTCTGTAAGTTTCTGTAGCATTTGGTGAGTCCCCATGACTAACAGCTTAGTTTTGTCAGGGTTGATAAGAAGATGGTTGTGGCAGCATCATGAAGCTATAAATGAAAGGTCTTCATTGATCTGTTTTTATGATTGTATTCACGTCCTTGACTGGGAACGACAGGTATAGTTTGGAATCATCCACGTGTGATTCCAACGAACCGAACTGCGGGATAGTAGGTAGATCATTCAGATAGATATTAAAAAGGGCTGGTCCAAGGATCGATCCCWGCAGAACCCCATAAACTATATGTTTCAAATCAGAGACTTCTGGACCAATTCTGACATATTGTCTTCGCCCAGATACAGATAGCTKYGAAACCATTCTAGAGCGCTATGACTCAGTCTAAGTGATTGTAGTAGTCCAGGCTGTCAAATGCTTTGGACAAATCCATTGCTTCTAACACCTTGTCAGTCATAAAAACGTTGAGGGTTTCACAAGAATGCATCGGCCTATTCCTGCTCTGGTATTCTGTGAGATGGTTATTTAAGTATGACGTCAGTTGGTTTAGCGCCAATTCACTCACAAACTTTCGATCCTGCTGGAAGTAATGTCACTGGACGGTTATTACTTGCCATCTCGTGGTCACAGTCCTTATGTAGGGGCACTATCTCTGAAGTTTTCCAGGCAACTGGAAAAACAGATGACAGCAAGGAGTGGTTAACAATCAGTGTGAGGATTGGCAGAATACAAGGCAAGGCATCTTTGATGACCGACATTGGGATCTTATCGTATCCAGGCACCTTGTCAGATGGAAATGACATTAATACCTTCTGCACCTCACTGCTTGATACTGCATGGAATCGGAACTTGTCTGTCTCTGAGATGTACAGGTTGTGAGGTTGTGGTAATTCCCATTGTGAAAAGTTTTGCAATGTACAATGGGAATTACCTAAAGGTTAATTCAATCCAACTGAATAAAAGCTAATTTTCATACCTTACCTGAAGATGACTGATTATATTAGTCAAAAATGTTGGTAACTTAAGACTTTTAAAATGCCCTATCAACATACTTATAGAGCAAATATTATGTCATAATAGGCATTTGCATAACCTGAAGAATTTTAACCTATGTTTGATTGTTTTTCTTGATGGCATTTTAAAATATCTCATGTACCAAAAACAGCCCATCCCCCCAAAGCATTTCTTCAAACATTTGAAACTTCTGATTGTCACATTGAGGACTTAAGTTGGCCACATTTGAAATCTGAATTGGAGATTCTTGCAGAGAGGAAATTGAGATTATGTTCTTCAGATTGTTATATATAGGGATTCGCAGCTGAATAACATGGAACAATCTTCGGAATAGAATGGGAACACCTCAACTATCCATCTAATTAGCAAGGAGGAAATTGTTTGATATTCCAAGAGAATCACTAAGCCCTCTCAACTCAACCACCTAAAGGCGATTTGTCACGCGTGACTTGTAGTATACGATTTTCCTACTATATTACAAGTCATAGGATTTTAAGCAGTGATTCAAAATCGTACTACAAGTCGTAGGTTGCGTACGACTGTTGTGGACAAGTCGTAGGGGCATTTACACTGTGCGATTCAAGTCATATACTACAAATCGCATGAGACAATCGTGCCGTGTAAATCAGCCTTAAGGTGTACACTGCAACAACAAGAAGTTAGCGATCAGCACTGTGATAGATACCTTTTTCAGTCAGTTATTGATTGATTTTCACAAGTTAAATAAAATGGCAATTATTATTAATAACTTTGAAACATGTTTTTCTTTTTGTTTAGGTCAGTATTTACATGCCACAAATAAAAACTGTCAGAAATGTTGTTGAAAGAATGAAAAATCTCAGTAATTACATGGTAAGCCTGCCAGCATTTCAGTACATCAAGTCCATTTAGTCGTTCAATATGATCATTGAAATGTCCTCACCAATTATTACAGACTCTAAACATAAACAATCATGTTCACTACTTGTCATTCTATTGTTAGTCAACATTATTTTTGTTGTTTATGTTTTTGTGACTTATTTCTCCTATATCCCATTTCCCATATTTTGCTTGGAGAACAACATCTTCACTGATCCTAGTTTCTCAAGGAGTTAGCAAAGCAATAAAGATATTGTCCATGGTTCATGTCTTTTGTCATGTCATTTTCATCATGAGTGTAATATGAAGTTTCCTTCACAGTTAGGTGCATCATCTTGAAAGGTAGCTGTGCCTTTACATTGAAGCGAGACAACTGTTGAGCATGCAATTATGACAGACATCTGTGAATAATTGTCTGTAGGTGTGAAAGAAGATGTCTAACGGTTGTCTCGCTTCGGTGCAATTAAGGCATGGCTACCTTTCAAGTTGGCACAGGGAACAGTGAAGAAGTCTATAAGACTGATGCCAAGAATACCCTGTACAGCTATTTGTGCTCTTAGTTTCTAAAAAGAAACTATTAGCTAAAAAGTACACATTTTGTAGTATTTAATGGATTTTGTACCAATTCACTGAACTTCTTTGTAAGCCTGCAACATCTAACGGGTGACAGGTCCTTTCTCAGAACATGGAGCACTAAAATACCGGTAGTCGAGTAAAGTATCTTTCCAAACTAGCTAGGACACCAGACAGTCTCTGTCTGGGAATCAAACCCTGGCTTGGATGGTAAGTTTCTCTAAGGTATGTATACTAAGTTGAATATATTGTTATTTAAAGACCATCTCAGCAAACCTTAAAGGATCAATGACACTTGGTGTGGACACAGATATCGTAACTGTAGAAACTCATTTCAAAAATCTTGATAACCCTAACCTCGGTATGTATGTAGTACTATTAGATCAAGTTAATCATTAGAAGATATATAATCATTCAATCAGCAAATCGATCAAATCTTCTTACATGCAATATTGAATGATATTGATTCTTTTTAACATAATTTTTATCAAATTATTTTGTAAACATATCTTTGAATGTTTGTTAAATTAATAACATTAATATTAAAATATTACCCAGATATTTTGGTCTGGTAACATACAGCTGGTCACACAGTTGTGTAAAAAGATAAGTTTAACACCTTAAAAAAGTAGGTGAAATAACTTACTGACGTTTCGAATATACCTTTGTCTGAGCTTAAATTTATCTTTTCATACAACTGTTTCTTATGAAACGCCAATGCATCTCACACTGGTTTACCACTAGTTTCCACCAGCTGGTTACACACTCTGATTACAAACAACCATTACTTTATTGGCGTGAATCTAAATTATAGAAGGAGATGACTCATACAACCAAGACAAAAAGGAATTGGCTCAGGTTAGAATTGAAATTAAGAAGATCTTAACCTTTCTTCAAAGTCAACAAGTTAGTCCAGACAAGGTTATATGTAGTAAGTATCCAAAGCATTATCATTTAGTTTTTTATTGCCCTTAGAGAATGCAGAGGCCGACTTAAATTTTTTTTTTTTTTGTAAGTCTATAGTAAATAATCTGTTCATAAGGCCTGATTGAGTACTCTCAAAAGCCACCCACTCAAACAATTAAAATGCACAATCACTGAGCAAGAGGACAATATGTTATTACAAAATAGTTTTTTTTTGGAAAGCTAAACCTGTGATACCATTGTTATCACTGAACCAGTGTTATTTAATACAATATTAAATAGTAATACAATAGGAGTGATCCCTCAATCTTAATGCAAAATTATTGTTTACATTCCACTTTTGTCCTCTATTTAATATGCAGATTTTGTGGATAATCAAGCTCTACAGTTTTTCTTCATACATGATGACTTGTCGCTACAGTATTTAATTCCTGCTGTGTCCAGATAGCTGATTTATAATAAGTAATAGTATTACACTTGGTAGACTTCTAATTACTATCTCACTATCTGTTTTATTATGCTCGGAAGGACTGGTAGCTCATGAATCACCAAATGCATACCTAATTTACTTATTAAAAAGGAAGTAATCTGACCAGATGTCACAGAAGAACAGAATGAGATACAGAATTAATAAAATAATTTAAATTCTAACATACTAATTATTTTTTATATTATTGAATTGTTTTCATTGTTATAATTATAATATAATATTTTATAGTCTTTACATCCCATATTTACCTAAGCTTAAAAAACTCATACATAATTAATGAGGATTAGGCCAAAATGAGCCTATTTGGTCACATGCATGGACCTTTATATCTGAKAAAACACTCCTTATTAATATTCTTTATATAAAGAATACTAATATTGATAAGGGTGACCTTTATCGGATATAAAGGTCTATGACCCTTGCAAAGGTYCTCAGGTTTAATACCTGATCATTGACCAATGCAGGATGTCAACCGATAGCAGTAAAACAGCCATTAGCTGTTTGCCCCCATTTATCAAGACTTTTAACAGCTTTGAGTTTCAAATTAGTGTTGGAGTCTTTTAAGCCTTCGGCATTTTTTTTTTGTCTTTTTGCCTTCAGTGCGAATGTTTATACCTGATAAAACACTCTCTCTCGTGTCTTAAACTATACTTATTGAAGTCAAGGTTAATATAAAGGGCATTTGCAACCCCAGTTCCTTTTGCAATGCTTTTCTAACAGGAACTTACTGTATATCAGAAAACTCCCACCCTGTCTGTTTTATTTGTGAATAATACATTCATTAACTTTATCATGTCATACAGTTGTAAAGAATTGTTAAATACTAACTCTCAAATTAAGGAACCTCAGTTGCCTAAAATTGTGTTAACTACGTTTTATATAAGAACCTGTTTAGGCGACATCCCTAAAATGTAGGTTCTTATATGCAAGTTTCTACTTTATACAAAATATTAGCTGGGGACCTTTATAGGCATTTAAAAATGTGAGCTGCAAGCAAGCAAATTTTAARCCTATAAAAACGAGTGTATAAATAAAAATGAGCCTATAAATTTTAAAGCCTAAAAAATGACTGTATAAATATATGGAAATCAAGACAAATCTCTTTGCTCATTCGATGTGGCCACAGCAATTATTTTTTAGTGTTTACCTTATGAATTATTAAATAATTTGATAAGGTATTTTTAACATGTATGTTCATAATTTTTGAAAAGGGGTGTTGTATCTTTATATATATCTTGTCAATTTTTTGGTGTACAGCAACTTTAATTAATCCATCATAATTATAAAAACTAAATAGTTCTTAAAAATTAGTAAAGTAATTTAATCTTAAAAGTAGATGTTAGCACTCAAGCGAATCAACTTATAATGCAATACTCAGGAGACATTAAATACACAATCTAATCAAATTATTAAGTCATTCATTCTTTATTTCATCTGTACTGTAATATCAATAAAAAATGAAATAACTTGATCTTGACTGTGTATTTAATGTCTCCTGAGTGTTGCACTTTAAGTTGATTCGCTTGAGTGCTATCATCTATCTTAGTACAAAATAGTGACTTGTTAAGAACTATTTAGTTTTTATTTTACGGATTAAGCAAGATTGCTCTAACATTTGTGCCAGGCTGTGCAAGGTTTGTTAATCCATCCATTTTTCAACAGTTAAATTGTGATAGCACTTAAACCGTTCAACTGTGCAAACTAAATACTAGTGCTATTTAGTTGCATTCAGTAAATCGTGCATGCGGTGACTTTTAATCATCCTAAATAAACATAAACACCATGGCTGAGTGATGAATGTCAAGAATGATGATTAAGTTAAGACTGCATGAACTTCAGGTTGCACTTCAACGATAATGGTTGTAAAATAAAGACACAAGACACATTTCTAGTGAATCAAAATGAAGACACAAGACGCATTTCTAGTGAATTAAAATAAATTACAAGACACATTTCAAGTTAATTACTTGATGCATGCCGTCTTATACTTGAGGTCCACTTTTAGTACAAATTAGTACTACTTAGATTTTGTACAGTTGCATGGTTTAAGTGTGATACTCTAACTCATTAATGATATGGAGGGTAGGAAAAATATTACCTATATCATATAATAAAAGAAGGAAAAATAAAGAACTTCTGATAATATAACATTATCAGTTTAAAGATCTCAACTTTTATTGTCCTACAAAAGTACAATTTCGTTAACTATACATGTGTATATAATTGTGAAAAAGTGAAAAACCTTATTTAGGAAAAAGATAAATGTCTTGGAAAGGACATCTTACACAATATAAAATATTCTCATTGATGTATTCGGTTATTTATCCTGACAAGATGACTTTCACAAAGTCTGCAATAAAAAAAGAAAGTATGAGCTGAAACATATTATATATATGATATATTTGGTATCTGTGATAAACGAGAGCATGTTAGTTGTAACTCATTACGACTTAATAGATAAACAACTAAAGTTTGTCAAACCCCAAAGCCTTTTAATTTGATCTATTTGTCCTTGACCTAAAGGAGAAGCTCTACAGTTGTTTCAAAATGCACCTTTCATCTTCATTTAGCATATTTTTAGTCAAAAACATATTGCTATATAATTATATACAGGATGATGTCAATGTGGGATTTGATCATTATACCTCGGGCAACTATTTTTTATGTGGAATTCAAGAAAATATTTCTAACAAAACATGGACCTTAAAAACTGAACAGCATCATAACTTATTATACCTACTTTCAATGCTTTATTCTAAATAATTAGCAGAAGCATTCTAACTTTTATTATATTCTGAAGCTAAGGTACATGTAAAGTGGAAAAGGATAAAAGACTTTGTAAGAAATAGCAAAAATTTGGTAATGACTCTGCGGCATTTATATGAACTCCCTTAAATTAATGTACCTTCATATGAGATGTAACCACTTTGATCATCAACAGTACCAAACAGCACATTTACTTCGTCATCTGTGAGTTTCTCACCTAGAGATTTTATAATTTTTGTTGACTTTGCTGTTCATTATTTGTTTTTCGGGGGGAAGGGGAGCAGGAGGTGTAAAATAATAGAGGGGGTACATTATTTTCCCGGGGGGTGGGGGAGGGGGGGGTAGTCCCTTTCTGATTAAGGGATGCCATATAAGTTCTGAAAATGCTGTCACAGTTAATGCCCCCCCCCTCTCCAACACAAACACCCACACCCTAAACCCTGGTAGCAAACCAGCAATAATATGAATATATCACCCACCCAGAGTTGTTAGCAAGTTTCTTAGCTCTGCAGCTTGAACAGTGCCTGTGCCATCACGATCAAATACTCTAAAGCCTTCAATGAACTCTTCCAGTGATGGATTGGTTTTCTTTTGAAATGCTGAGTGATAGATTGGAAGAAATTCTTCAAAACTGACACGTTTTGCACCTACAAAAAGAAGTGCAAATTTTAAGGGTTAGGGTACAGCAAAATGAAATTATATTTGTTCGAACCTTTTACCAGGAATGTAAATCTTGTAAAGAACTATTAAAAGCACGTTGTTTTAAAATAAATTCAGTGGTTGTGCAAGTTACATGTCAACGTTCATTGCATCTTCACATCTATTTCGATTCAGAGATTACACAAAGCTGTTTTGCGGGTCTTGGACACGAACAATTTTATAGGTTGTCTTGAATTCTTAGAGAAGGCGCAGAAGCATATAGTTTGATTTGTATAGTGAAAGAATGTATAAACTTCAAGGTCTTTAGGATATACAATATAGTATAGCATCTGATCCACGACCGTCGCGATCGTATAGGTGACATAGATGACATGTTTAAGGAACCAAAACGTATGCTCGATCATGTCCCAGTGGGATTCCATTCACTAAGACAACAATTATAGCATTCTAGAATACAACTAGAAGACAATAGTCTAGCTGTGAAATAGGCGGGTTGTGCATTTACGGATGATAAAATCATACCAGGAAAGAAAGATTGTTTGCAAGACATCCTTGGTGTTTTCAGAACATAGCAATCGAACAACACATCTGCAGTCTAAAACTGAATAAAGGTTTGTAAAAACTGCTGATACAGTAGCACAGTTCGGAGTTGGGAGTAAGCTAATGGTCGTAAAGATAAGAATAAAGATCTACAGTGCATATTAAGAAAGGCAGGTTTACACCTACCAACATCTTTCTCGATCTTTTTGACTTCGCCAGCAGTGGGATTCAGACCAAGCGATCGCAGAACATCGCCTATTTGATCATAATCAATTTTGTTGTCTCCCTTTCTGTCAAACAAACTAAAAGCCTCTCTGTATTCTGCAAAAGAAGAACAAAAGAACAGCTGTTAATCTCTCGTCATCTTTAAAGGATTCTACAACGCCCTTTTGGGCGAACAGTTCTGAAAGTTGTATAGTCCTCCACTTAAAGAAATAAGTGTTTCAATTACCTCCAATCTGGTCGTCTGTCAGAGATGCCTGCAATCAAAATCGAAATAAATTAGCTTATACTTCCATTAACTTGTACAAGTAAACAGAGCAAAAGAGCAATAGAGATTCCTCACCATTTTTGCAGATCTTGTGTCACTCAACTCGCAGGCGATCGTCTTTATCAAAGCTTGCGTGATCGACGTGCTTATTGCCATTTATGTTGCCCTTATATGGAAACATGGAATGTCGCATTATTTCCATTGAACCAAATGTTGCGCCTTCTAGGGGCGATCCATTGGAATTTTGAGGGGAGGATTTTGTCCGTGCAACAATGTTTTTTTCGGACTTCAGCTGCGCGCTTGTAATTTAGAAAACTTTAGTGGAGATTTTTCAAAGTTTTGCCTTGCAGGATTTTTTTTTTTCGAAATCTTCAAGACCACCCCGTCCCTTAGCCTGCGTACATCCGGTTTATTTTCAAAATTAAAACCCGTGTTTACGGGTAAACGCTGGATGAACTCAGGCTACCCGTCCCTCAAACTTCAAAAAAATCTTGAGTTCAATAAATCTATCTTTTTACCCATAATATTAATACACGCAATACTGAATTGTAGACTTTATTACCGTGACCCCACTATTTACTACAAAATAGTGTTAATTAAACAATACAAAACAATAGAATTAGCATAAKTAAGGTATTTATGTTGCACAGTTTTAGGGTTTGTACTCTAATTGTTAAAAACTATTTAGCTTTTATTTCATGGATTAAAAAATTGCTCTAAAGTGAAATAACAAATATAAAATATAAGTCAAATTGTTGAATCCAACTTCTCCAATTTTCGGCCGCAAAGGACAAGGTTTTGGGGGGTTTAAGACCCTCCATGTAGTAAGCTCTTTTTGATACCATGTAATGATCACTTGGTCAGTGTATGATTCAACTATCTTTATTGGACTTATAATCACAAGTGTTATAATACAGATGATAATGGTTGCTTGACTGTAACACAATATGAATCACTAATCATGACAATCACCCCCACTCTAAATACGAGGGAGCCCCCTGGGGCTAATATCTCATGAACTAATTGCATGTAAATGTACAAAAAGCTCAAACTTTCACAATATAATATTTATACTTAAATAAATAGGCCCTGATGACCACAAAATATAAGTTTGCAGTATTTTTGAACTTTAACCTTTAATGTTAATGAGCAAGATTTTGAAACCAAAGATCCAATCTATATAATATTTGCTGGCATCTAGCATTATTTAACTATAATCATTTAAATGAATGCATGGTGTGATCATTTGCCTTTCTCTTCATTGTGTTCTGGTTTAAATGACATGCTTCTTTTTATTCCTCAGTTTCTTTGTCAAGAGAAAACCAAAAAGCTGCAAACAGAAAACAATATTCAATCACGTTCATTATGATATATACATTATAAAATACATAAAATTATTATTATGTCATGATTAATGTACAATGAGAAATGTATGTATTATATGAAATAGTTTCTTCACCAGTAAACAATATTACACCGTCACCCAATTACAGATCACAGAAATAAAAAGCCCTAATCCTCTTTTCACCCACCATTCCTTCAGCAACCAACCTCAGCTTAGAAGAAGACCCTAAGAAACCCACCGAGGCCTGAAATTAATTTTTCCGAATTTATTTCCAAGGGTCTTTCTCCTGGAATTACCTCCTTCTAAGCACTACAACTTCCCTATACAGTTCTATATCATGTGCCATGATTGACGCAACATCTATTTCATCCGGACCTGCTCCTAGTCTGACCTTGCAGCTCAGCTGGTAATTTTTCCGAATTTCTTTCCAAGGTTCTTTCTCCCAGAATTACCTCCTTCTAAGCAATACAACTTACTTCATTCCTATTATTGTTATGTTTATTATAGTGCCATGCTGTCTTCATATTCATATATTTATCAGCCACTTTGGGAAGTCCCAAGGGTGAAAGACTGGGGAGATGGGGTGGGGTAGGTACTTATGCTTTAACAACACAAGGTTCTGAACCAATCCAAAAGAACAATAGAGTGCCAAATGGTTTTCAACCATTAGGTAATTAGTGACTCATCCAGGGGCGGCGGAGTCAAAATTGACTTGGGGGAGAGGGGTACTATCATAGACTTATAGTGATGACATCAGAAACAAAGACAAAAAGAAATCTATTGGTATGTTTTACGTACAAAACCAATGCTGTGAGGGGCCCGTGCCACACAGCTTCGCCACCCCTATCATCAGGGACAGCGTAGACGGGGGTGCTAGGGGGGCTATAGCCCCCCAACTTTTATCTGAAAATAAAAGTTAAGATCAACGTAAAGTATACTCCTATTGAATGGTTTTGTTTTATTTTGGTTTTGTCTTAATGATAAAGTACTTCACTTTTTTATGTTAGTAGACAATTCTGCAGTTTATGCCAAATCAACATTTGAAGTACAAATATCACTGCTTTAAACAATTAGAGGAAACAAAGTCACTGACAGTAACAATTAAACTTTGCAGGCATGAAATACAGATATAATTGAATATTTCACTGCAAGCTATATCACTCAATAAAATATTTGATACAAAATTTATTCAATTATAATATTATAATTATCTTAGTACAAAATATAAAAGTCACATGAATATGTTTTGCTGTCTATCTGGTACATATAGATAAACTATCTTGTGAGGATTTCTACCAGTATTATATTTTGCCTTAATACTCAAATCCAATCATCATCAGATCTAAAAATGAGTATGCATTAAAAGTGTTAGCTTGAACCATCTTTCACATCTACAACTACCTGAAATATAATCTATTTTTTTCAGAGATCCATAGCTTGTAAAATCCAAGTATTTTGTTGAATGATTAATTTTAATATTTGTATTTTGCATCAATCAAAGTGATGTGCTCCAAATAAGTGAATTCATTTCAAATCAGACAGTATAAAAGCGCAATCAAAATATTCTTGTCAAGTTTCTCCTTTAAATATGAAACAATAATTTATATATTTTCTTACAAAAAATGCTATATCCTCTATCTTTGCATCTCCATACACTGCTGAATCCAATGCTCCAATTCCAATGCTCATTATTATATCAAGTGTCAAAGTTCACTTTTCCTAATATCTTATTGGTCAAGAGTGTACCACGTGAAAGTCACAAAATTTTACTGTTTCCCGACAACTGTCCACCAGGGGTCAATAATATGTTGTGGACCGTCAATAAGTACAAAATTGCAGAAAAACACTCTTCAGCTGTGTCGTGAAAATGTCACATTTACGGACGTTGCATTCCAAAATTGTTATGAAACATTTAATTTCGACTACAAATAGTTATAGTATTCATTGTGTTATTACATTGATTGATTTTAGTGACATTTGACTATTTGTATTGCCATTTTTCAGTCATTTTATCAAAATCTTTAATAAAAACATTTCATCTATTTACTTTTTTGCTCTCTTTGACACTTGATATGTTCGGGAAACATCAGCGGTCTCGGGACCACAAAACATACTGTTTCCCTCGGTTCCAGTAGATAAGTGTTAATTATACAATCATTGTGATAGTAACCCTACTCAAAACACACTAAATCACAATTGAGTTTAGAAAGAAGCAATATTCAATAAATGCTCAAAAGTTAACAATCATCATTACAAGTAGAGAGATTAAAGACACTAGTGCACATAAGAAACATGAAGAAATGATTATCTGATTATCATGATTAGAGAAAGTGGCTTGGATTAACTCCAGGGTCCTTCAGATTTCTGTATCGACAAGTTAAGTACACACCAAATAACTGCAGATAAAGAGATAAAGCAACCAATGAGAAATAACAGACATAAAAGCAGATCAGAGTTTTAGCATTAATAATATCCTTTATCTGGAGATGGTTAGCAAGTTTCTTATTACTAGAAGTTCAATATTAATTTCCACATAATATTTTCAAGGGCATAAAAACACTTAATATAGTAACACTTATATAGTGGAGAAAAAATGACCTCCAATTATAATAATAATCTTTATTGAGGAAACTTTTTCATTTACAAAGAAATGGTTTTCAAAAACGACCTCCTAAAAAATTGTTTTTGATGAGTGCATTTTTGCACTTTTTTTCATCAACTGACACATGATATGTAATATATCACATTTGTATGCTAGACTTAGTCTTCGCCATCAGGATTGCATATGTGCCATCATTTAAATGAGTCTCTCAGATAGCCTTGTGCACAAACTTCTTGTGCAGGATGTGGAGTACTTTATATGAACAACATTAATACTGAGATCACTTGATTAGCTATTGATGGTTACTTAAACTGGTTTGACAGTCTTATATTTCTCACAGTTTCAATGTCCTAAAATATCACAGTCATGTGTTACTGTTTTTTTAGTCATGTGCACAGCTGTAAGAGGAGAGAATATCGCAGGTGGGTACAGAATTCCTAGCAATTCTATTAAGAATGTGAACTCAGTAACGGCGAATTAAATATCTGAAATATCTGGTTCGACTGAATCCCGACCATCTGTACTGGTGGCGCCACGGATCTTATTATTTTAACTTCAATTCTAGACAAGCAGGGGCAAGCGACTGCCAGTTTAAACACAAGTCTAGCCGCTATGGTGTAACATTGGCAAGCATATCTGAGTGGTAGTGACTTCAATTTGCAACCCTATGGTCCCAGATTTGAGTCTCCAATGAGTTGATTTTTGTTTGATTTCTTCATTTGCCAAAAATTAATAAATTCATTTAAATATAGCACAGGTAACTCAGAAAATTAGTGAATAAATTACGAAAAAACAATTGTAACAAATTTATAATTCTGAACACAACTAACACTGACTCAAGTTTACAGGAAAGTGACTGACTGACTGACTGAGTGACTTAGTGAGTGATCGACAGATTTGTCCCCCTCCAATAACTCTTCTATTGCTTTGCAATYTTCGAGTTAAAAGTTACACTGTTTGCCATGAAACCACATCTTATTATCAAGCAAAGTTAGTTTCAGAAAGAAATAATTTTAATTTAAGCCATAGCAATTTTTAAAGTGAATGCTTCAGTAGCTCAAAATATGAACTCTAACTACTTATGATATATTCAAGTTTCAATCAATAATGCCTAAAAATTTAATAATAACAAATACCTTCGTAAGACGGGGACATACCGGTAGTTATTAGTACTACTGTTGTTTTAATTATGCTATTACACTTGATTCATTAATGAAGTGTTGCATTTGTATCTTTATAATAATAATACATAATAATTAATCATTTCAGGTACTGATCCTACAACTATTTAAAATCCAGTTTGGATCTAAGACTCGCTTGTAAAATCACTGTATTGTTTACATGTAAGTTCTGCAAGCCACACTTTTACTTTGATAGAGACAGTCAGAGAGAAGAGACAACAAACAAGATGGTAGTCTACCACATCGTTTACGCAACGACATAAACTATCACATGGACTTAACACAGAGAGCCCAATATCCAGGATCCCTCTGACATAACCAACTGAAATGTGGCTTACAAAAACATGTTTTTATTTCATATTACTATTCAAGACAATCTGGAAAACTTACCAAAGTAAAACTAAAGAACAATCCTATTCCTCCAGCCAATTTGAGGAGATGATCTACAGTCTTCTCAAGTGACACATAACATGTCGGACATTTTGGGCATTCGGAGTCTTTATCATCTTTGCAACATGGTACAACCTAAACATTAGAGCTTGGTACATTAGACATGGTTCTATTAGAACTATCACACTTACAACTCCTTTAACCTATGACCCACAATTCCACCCCTAACTAATAGTGCTACTTTATAGTGTCAAAATAGTGCTCCTAATAGTGTAATTTTTAGGCAATGTTGTAAGAAAATGGTTATAATGAACATGATATTCTTCACTATTCTTCATGTTCATTATGCAGGGATTCTGAAATTTAGCCTGTGTGGTGGCTCTAGGGGGAAAATGGAAGGGGTGAGGAGGCAGAGCAGAAAAAAAGAGAGCCTGCTCTAAAGAGCCGCTTAATCATGTACTCGCGGCCTCTTGTTGATTGGTTTAAATCAGTGCTGTGATTGACGTTTTCAATTCGCTGTCAAAATAGTGATATCCAGGCTATTCCGAGAACTCTTGAAAACAAAACAACACATCAAGATTGTTTTCAAAGCTGAATTTATTGATMRCTAGATTGAAAAGTCAGTGAGGAAAAACTGTATCTTGATCGTCCAACAAGTCATGTGTAATGCTATTGGATAAGCTATATAGATTCGGATTTTGATTTTTGTCATTTTGTAAAGAGTAGCATTAGTAGCTACAGGTTTTTAATAGCATCCGTGAATGTGTAGTTTCAGTGTACAGCCGAACCAAAACTGTTTTTGAACCCATTGCTAGAAAGATGAAGGTCAAATGTCATAAAGTACATATACGAAGATAATGTATTGCTTTGTTGGATTTGCAGGACAGTTGCCCGTAGTATGTTTTCTTTTCTGAAAGGCACCGATTACCCGTACCTGACTGATCTTACAAATCTCATACAAAGTTTTTTAGTTTTCCAGTAGCAGATTTGCGTGAGTAGTAAAATTATAACGACATATAACGCTCGAACTATAAAAGAAGCTCATATTTTTTTTTCTTGAACAAAAATTATTTTCTTGACATTTCAAAAAGATAAACAAGCTCAAAAAGAACAATTTTGGGGGTTTTGCCCAAATCTGCCTTACTTTGACGCAAAACCACAGGTTCACCTTGCGCAACTTGTTTTCTCACCATGAAGAGGATTATAAATGTAAAAGTAGTTTATATCTTGACATGTAAACAATTTAATATCCTCATAATGTACGTTTGAGGCATCACTGCAAACCATTTGATACCTTTTCGCATTGTGGATGAGCAGAGGTCTTGTTTTTGAATCCACAACAATCTCTTGCAAGTTGTATTTTGCTTTGTAGTTTGCTAGGTAGCTTTTGCCAACCTGCTTCCATTAGCTTCTCTTGCTGGTCATGTGTTACAGCTAAAGCTCCAATTGATACAGCCATTTGAATAATAAATAGAAGTACTAGAATAATCATATACTAGTCATAGGTTAAGGTCCACAGACAAAACAAGGAAAACTATGCAATACAACAATAACAACAACACAACCAAAACCTAGATATACAAAATGTTGTTTAAAGGATACAAAGAATAGTATGACTTGGCTATGTCTGATAGCACCAACCATCCCAAAAATAGAAAGGAACAGAAGAAAGACACCACATGCTATCACACCTCCTAGAATTGGCAAATTGGTTACAAGTGCTGTGACTCGTGCATATACTGCGACTCCAATAAGGATAAAGGCCAAGAACTAGGAAGTGAAATAAAAACATTAACAAAATCTCAAGCAGGCCTCAGGAACAGTACAGTAAACACCTGCATATAAAAACAAATGGATTAAGAACACCAGACTGAAATTAATCTCCAATATTAAGAACAAGATGATCAGCCTAAAAATTAATTAAATCTCATGTTCTTATAAAATGGAAAAGTTGTCATAATAACATAAATATGATTTTATGATGACAATAATTACTCTAGTATTAGAGTAAAAAATAGCTGTGAGGAATGGCGTGTGCTAAAAAAACATTTATAAACATTGAGGTAATGTATGTGGATCAGTAGTCTGTAGTCTGTTGGCCATAAGTTTTGCTGTCCTCTCAAAATAAGAGTATTCAAATCTACTTTTTAAGCAGAATACAGGAAATCCAGTAAACCTTTAATCAGGAAATACAATTCCATTGACTAAATTCTAAGAGCATACTAATGAATATTAACATTTCAATGACTTAAGCTTAATAAGCTTATTTTGCCTTTCTTCCCAAACGCCTTCCAAGTTAAATTATGTATGCATGTAACGTGGATAAACCATCATTTTTCAGGTCGATTTGAACATACTCATCCCATCAAGTTTTTCATTAATTCACCATTTTCTAAATAATACAAATTAACATCATTAAGCTTAAGCTAAATGCTTCTTTAGGACTGATTAGTCAGGCCTAAGTGCTACTTTACTCTTCAGTGAGGAAGGTTGATAATAGTGCTAAAATATCCGTAATACCATTAGAGATGCAATATAGGTTATGACGAGAAATGATAACCTCTTACCAAAATGAATTCCAAGGTTGATAGTCCGCTGGGTTAACTATTAATAAATGTACAGTAACAGAACCCACATCACACGATGGGTCAAATTACATTTGTAGCACATCTCATATTTCGATGGAAAAATAACAACATACTCACAATATATAAAGTGTTCAAAGCAACCAAGCTATTTTTGCTGCAATAATAAGTACATGACTGTACTTTTGAGTGTTTGGGAGGATACATCTGTTTTTCTCGTATGTCTTATATCACTCGTCACCACAAAACAATAATACTCTCATCCAAGGTTCCTCTCATTACATGACGAAGTCCCTTTTATCTCTTTCGTTTTCAGCCCCAAGGAAGAGACACAGGATACCCAATATTTTGACATTGAGATTTATTCATACATATCAACAAATGCATATATTTATACACCTTCTAAATTACGAAACTTAGTATTGGTTACGTAACGAGGTATAGCTTTCTTGGTTCACTCCGATCCCAGGGCTGAAAGTGTCCAAAGAGCGACAATTTTGATCTCTCAGTTATACTTCTTATCTCTTCGTCCCTGGAAAACTTTATTAACCCCGATTTTGAAGCTAAAACCTGAGGCCAAGTCCCTGGTCCCATATACCTCGTCACTGGCCTATATTTTAACTTAATATTAATGAGTGGAAAACTAGGGCTATATAATTGAGCTCTCTGAACTTATCGTGCTCTCGGCCATTTCTTGACCCGTCGAAGCTCTTTGAAACATTCTCAATGTTTTCAACTGAAGTCTGTGTACCCGGGGGAGGGGGGGGGGGGTACTGCCTCCCCAACTTGGGTGGGTGTGTGCCGCACGACTCTCAAAACCCTTACCCTATCCCAGACCAATTTCTTTGATTTTACATACCCTACCCCAGACTAAAAGTAAGACTATTTTTGACGTCTTTAACAAGAGAAAAGGCCAAATTTAACAAACTGTAGAAAATCAATGTCGATATAGTAGATTGTTGAGGTTAATAAAATCTATTTCTTTATAACACTTCTTCAATTTTTTTCTCGTTGTTCGCAGATTCTCTTCCCCGGGGGATTCTAGAGCCCCTGGTGGTTTGACATATGATTTCCCTGGAATCAGTAGCCACCGGCATGTGATTTTCGGGAGAGTAAAGAAAATAACTCAATGCGGCATAAATTTCAAAATGACGGACATTCATTTGCCATGTCAGATCGTCTCAGATCTGCAGAGCGGTACTGAGCACCGCGCGGGTCATCCCATCCTTTTCACAATTCTGTAACGGAGGTAGTCGTGGAGATTGTATCAGTCAAAGTCTTAGAGTTTTTTTACCAATAATTGATCAAGAATAATACAATGCAACATAACAGCAGAAATAGGCTTTCTTTGCAATAACCGCAGCTGCCTCCGGAAATATATTGCAATACATCAATCTTTGTGCAAGATAGCGACAAAACTTTAGGAAAGTAGCTATTCCAGAAAGCGATGCCTTTGCTATGAAAGTACTGATGCGATTTAGGTTGGATTGTCAAATTCATGTAGTATGGATTGGTTTTGTTAAATTTCTTCCACAAAGAGCCACCCACGGGTACAGGCGTTGGATTACCGGTTCGTGCAAAGTTTGTAAAATACTGTATTATAAACTCGCTGACTTTTTTATCTTCTTCGTCGTAATATTGGAGAACATTTAGCTGCATAAGAGGAAATCCGAATTGATAAGGAGTGTCTGCCTTGTGTGCCACCCCCATCCATTTTGGATCTTTACTGAGTTTAGATCGATGGCTGAAGACCAGCAARTACCCAGGGGCCAACATTGTGTGCAGTTCAAGAACAGCATGAGCAGGTGCGGCAACGCTGTAATCAGTTACCAGATCAGCTAAACGTCTTTGTAGCTTCGAGTGATCTTCGATATCAGGCCATGGAGTATACTGAAAGATTATTGCGTCTTCTACGCTTTTTGATTCTACTGCAGGTGATGCAGTTTTGTTGTATCTGCTTATATCTCCATACATTTTGATAAGTTGTTTCTTAAAAGATTTATATGTCCAGTTCTTTGTGATATTTTGGTAGAAATAAGATCCCTCTTCACTTGTCATGCTTACAATCAAAGGATAGGGATGAAATTTTTTCGCTTTTCTGATATTCATTGGTGTATCATTTAAGAATATGTTATCAACCACTGGACGCCAGACATTTACATCCTCCATTGTAAATATTTTTTCAGGATCTTTAATTCTACGAATGCACGAAATCATCTCATCAGTGTCAGTCGTAGGGCATTTGCATCTTCCCGCTACCACTTTAGAGAGCTGAACGGCCTCTTGATGTGTACTGACTGCAAATGGAGATAGGTCGATTCCACTGAGAGCAATGGCATTGGTGAAGAGTCCTTTTGATAATGGAGATAGTAACAAAAGTCCTACACTTGATCCTCCAGCACTTTCTCCAAATATAGTAACCTTGGACGGATCTCCCTTAAACATTCGAATATTTTCCTTGATCCACTTAAGAGCTTCAATCTGGTCCAACATTCCATAGTTTCCAGGAGAAGCTGAATCTCCTGTACTAAAAAATCCAAAAGGCCCGAGGCGGTATTGGATAGTGACGAGGACAACATCCCACAACGGTAGCACATCTCCAGGGCTGACAACTGGAGACCCTGCTTCGTAACCTCCACCGTGAATATAAACCATTACGGGATAAAATATCTTTGCATTAGTATTCGGAGTATAAAYATTAAGGTACAAACAATCTTCGTTTTGTGGCCATGAGAAATTCGACAACCAAAACATGCGATTATATTGTGGATCTTGCCAACATACCGGTTTGAACTTTGTTGCATCGTAGACTCCTTTCCAAGGTCTAGGCTTTCTCGGAGGACGAAAGCGTAAATCGTTGATTGGAGGGGAGGCATATGGTACTCCGAGAAACTTCATAACTTTAGAAACATTTCCTAAACCAATAGATTTKTCAAATGCTCTAGAAAGACCCTTTATCATGCCATATCTTGTAGAAACTATTACTTGAGATGCTTCTGGCGTCTGCCGTAGAAATACCAAACATAAAAATAAATTCAGATACCAAGGAGCCATAGCCAGAACTATATCAGATGTATTTCAATAAGTCTAGAAGAAGAAAACGAAAAATAACATTGTATAAGTGACTCGCTGTTTCTTTCAGCACTATGATATCAAACTACGGGCTATGACCTTCTAGGATTATAAGCGATAGACGAACTATATACCAACGAGTATCTTATGACAGACAGATCGACTGGACCCCAAGGCCCCCAAGACAGTGTGCTGCCAAGCACTACAAAATCAAGAATCACTGACTATAAACAATAACAATGAGTCGGAAGTTGCTTAGTTTCAAGTATTTGATTAAAGTTATCTAAACACTACATGCAGTGAAGTTTTAGGTGGTCTAATCACTGGCTGTGCTCGTGCCATGATGCTACTTCCTTAATTAAGTCGTGGAAACCTATAATAACATTTTGATAAACTTTCTTAGGATAATGCAAGGAAATTTAACACTAGAATAGGTTTTAGTTACCCAGCCATTAAGATATTTATGTATATTCAATTAATGGCTAGGCGTATCCGCTCTAATTTTGCATGCTCAAAACCGTGAGTTCGCAAAATAAACCAAATTCCTTTTTAGATCATTGCAGGTCATTTTCTTAGCAACTGGCAGTTCAAATCTTTGAATTTGTGAGTACTTTGTGATTCAAAACTTATTGGTTATGATTGATAGTGATACCATGTAAATTCGTGATATTTTGAAATATGCGGAAATATAAACACAACAGTTGAAAGTTATCTGCTTCTTTCTGCTTATTTAGATAGATATTTAGCGCTCCGCTTATCAACTGCTCAATGATGATGACCCTATGACTGGAGCACCTCATGACGCTGTAAAACCATTTCTCATATTTTTGCGTTTTGCTCTGATCTCAGGCCAAGCAGATGAATGTTTAGCAAAGCTTATAAACATTGCAAGCGGTATCGCAATTAGATTCGAATATGTATTTTCTAATGACATTCTAAATTATTCTAAAACCTGATGAAAGTATGATTAAAACCGATGAAAGCGATATTTTCGGTCGTTAGCCGGCACATCTCTTAGTGCTCAACGACTTCCGATATGTGATGTTATCGCGAAGCTCATGTAGTTATGTTCATACCGCAAACATTCACAGCCTTGTTTTCTTAACTCCTATGTTTGCTATTTAGATCTCCCAAGATGTTGATTTTTATCTAGGTCAATATCGGTAAATATACGGTAATGGACAAACGAGAAAGAGCAGTAAAACGAGTATTTTAGCATTCATGGCGGTGAAAAGAATTTATTTTACAGAGGCACCATATTGGAAGGGTGGATTGTAAACACTTTCTATCGGATATATCCTTATATAGCGGATGAAATCTGTAGAAATTCTAAGTAGCCGGGTGAGTCAATTTATCCAATACTCGAATAGGAAAGCTCTTATTATTCAGTCTTTTTTCACTGCTTTGGCATACACCCCATTGCAAAAACGCGTTGTCAAAACCGGGGCCTGATAGGATAAGCGGGTTGGCCCGGTTGACCGTGCTGACTTCTTTTGTTGTGATCCCAAGCGAGAAACTGACAAAAGATTAACCGGGCAGTCCGTTCAACCGAGCCAGGCCCCTTCATATAATCTGGTAAAAAGCAGTGCACTACAAAAGACAAAGCGTTCGCCGTGACTGATATTTTTTTGTCTATTTAATAAATAGCTAGTTTACAAAAGTTCGAGTTTCTCTATGACACCATCTTTGCACCAAACGTGTGTATTTGACTTATTCGCAGATGGAAGATTCGCTTTCTGCAGTAATATGCAGCCTGAGCAATTCTGAGGAATCTTAATGTTCATACTCTGTTGGAGCTTTCGAATGGACTTTATTCGATCACTTCTGACTGAAACTAGCTACAAGCATGACGGTAATTTTCAAGGATATTGCTGAGTGGCGAGGAAGAATTGCAACAGTATTGAAGTATCCCGTTAAACCATACTCTGCGAGCATTCACTCTTTTCTTTCGAAATTCCGTGAAGGTTAATAAGGTTACATATTCAGATGCATATATGTCAATCGATTTCAAGATATTCATTATATATATTAGAAGTTTAAAATGGATAAAATGGATAAAATGGCGGATGTCAATTGTCGAACGGCGATCGCAAGACTGAAAGTAGGCATGGGTCTTGCTAATTGTTGAAAAATAACAACAGTTTTATACTGTAAGATTTGGTGAACACTAGTTTTACTTAGTTTTATTTAATTCACAGACTATCTTACAGTATGAATCAGTTGATATTTTTCATCAATTAGCAAAACCCATGGTTACTTTCGGTCGTGCAATCGCTGTCCGACAGTTGACATTCGCGTCATTTTATCCGACAAGCTTTTTTAAATAGGTATCTTTCTTTGTCGACGGTTATTGTCAATGATATATTGTAAATGTTTTGTATGTCCTGATCAACATTAACTTGGCATCTCCAGTACATGACTGATGACAAAATATACAACAAGTGCTTCTTCTGCTCTTCGGCTAAGTGGCCACACCCAAAATGGACTACCTTGAGTTATAGTTTTAAACTATCGACTACGAAAAATCGCTATGTGCCGTTATGCGACGATGAACAACAATTTAGTTACCATCGGGGGCACCATCACAGATAAACGAATTTAATGATCCGACATTATAGGGCGCGATCTAAAATTCGTGCCTACCAGTCCTACATGATTTCAGGTTGGTGTTCGCTAGCTTGTATTCGCAACAGTTGTACTGTAAGAGTGCAATAGCGTAGGCTTAAACGTGTAAAAAGTTTAATGAAAAAGTCCTTATTTATGTAGTTTGTGCTGTCTTCTAAAAAAATCAGTAAACCATATATACCGGTATGTATACTCACCACGATTTTTTCGAAATTGACAGTCGTAAACTTTAACTTGAAGATGTAACACACAATCGTACTGATGCTACTAGAAGTGACTCGTGAGTGATAACAAGATTTATTACTTGTGACCGTATCACATCACTCACTTCTTCAGTTTGACGCTATCTCATAAAGATCACCTCAAGCTGAGAAACGTTTATATCATGAACCGGATTAGATTTATCCAAGTCGATTTACCCAGCATAATATATTACTAGATAGTATCAGCAACATCCGTCACTTCTCCTAATGAATATAAACTACAAAATTAATGCTTTGCAATGATTTTTCCCTATTTCTAACCCTCCGGCCGGTATCCTCATATATTCGACACCTAAAAAAGTTAATGTTTTAAGAAAAGGAGAAACCTTTAAACATTTTGAAGGGAAACCAAATTCAATTTAAATCATTTTTTTTAAGTGACGGATGCAAAACACTTCAATATAACAACTATTCACAATATATTATTGGGGAATTTATTTGTCTCCGCTTGGCAATGACTATAAAATGGAAGCATAATGAAATGTTCGTGGCTTAATGACTTGGTCACTCAAGTGCTATAATCCGTTAACATGTCAACTGCATACTTGTCATTATTTAAAAGTTCTAAAGCAATGTAACAGTGAGGGCCGTTTATTTTAAGAGACGTTTCAGTTTAACTTTTTGGAGGATTTTCTAAATAATTTTGGTTCTATATCATTGTCATTGTCACTTATATATGCAAGAAAAAACAGTTTCATCTGTTTCAGAATAGAAAATAGTCTCAGACATGACATATAGGAAACGCACGCGTATTTTGTTTAAAAAAATATAATTCTTTAGTAACAGGAAAACGGTAATGTACTGCACCTTAATAACTATAAATCGTATCTATATTATACATCATTCCGGTCAGCGCCAAAAGTTAATGAACTAATGGCATTATTCATTTACGCAGTTTGTCTCATTACCGTCTCTTTTTAGGAAATATACGATTTCCCAAAGTCATATTTTACCTTGTTAAAACAATGGTAAGAAAATAGCAAACTTGTTCTATCACTGAGAATCATTACATTAAGGCTTAGGTATTTTGGACAGCAAAAATGATATATATCATGGATTACTATGAGCTTTTTTTTCTCGAATCCCATACAAGTTATGTGAGATATAAATAAAACTGCTTCTTGAGAACGCTTAAAACGTTCGGGATGGCCTACGAGCAACCCGATGTATAAACTTATTGTGTAGTTGTCGTAAATTATATAATATATTATATACATGTATATAGTAGTCGGATATGTGATCGAACGAAACTGACATTTCAACGTGGAAAGTAGCTGTTAGAAGGTCTGAGAGGGTCCATCGGTTTTCTTAACATTCCCTGGAAACAAAGTGCGGAAACTCGTAACAAATGCAAGCTCATCATGGCATCCAGTATATTTTCTTAATTCTGACTTGTTAATTTTCATGTAATCTGTGCTTAATTGAAGGGATGTACGACGACATGTGCGAGCAAATTTGGAGAAGAGCGTTGAGTTGGGAAATATTTCATTTGGAGTACTGATGACAAAGAAAAATGTATATCTTTGAAAATATAACGTTTCTATCTTAAATTTTGTGTCGAAGAATATCTCGCATTCTTCCATGTGTAACTGTTGCAATAGAAATGTTCAAATTACATTTTTTAACAATTTGGCCCTTTAAATAGACACCCTGTTCAAAGTTTGGTATATCTTGTCAGGGGCGGATCCAGCAATTTTCAAGGGGGGGGGGGGGAGATTTTCTGCTGCAGCATACCCCCCTACCTCCGGAAAACCTATTGAGATTGATATCCAAACAAGATCCACTTCGTGGAACATACCGTGTCCAGGCTACGCTATAATTACTTTTACCAGCCCCGCGATCGATTTGATGGATTTTGCGTATGATCTTTTCACATCATTTTTTGAATATTTTTATCATTGCAGCGAAAATTTAGCATGATTGCTTCAGCATTCGAGACGAGATTTAAACCCGCCATCCTCTGTTCGACGCCGCTATTCGAGTGTCATCTTGTTTCTAAAATTTAACAAACGCGGCTCGTAAATATTAATGATATAACGAATTGCTACGATAAAAATCTAACATGACTAGAACACTTATAYTTCAGTTAAAAAAAGAAAGAAAGAAAGAAATAAATAAAAAAAGAAGTTTTCAGAAGTACTCCAGTCGAGGATCGAACCTTGGAACTCTGGATTAAGGGTCCCTTGGGAGCGCAAAACTGCGACGTGGAAAAAACATAATAATAAGAAAGGCGCTGCATTTTATAACCGTGCCGCAGGACTTCGGCCTGGACACGGTAAAAATGATAGTTGGACTGATTTGGATGCGATCTTTCTTCAATCTGTTCAATTTTTTTATTAGACTAACTTTATGAACTTGCACCCAGTCCTTTGCTCGTTTTTTAAGAATGCTAATTACAATTTTAATACCCTTGATACCCTTGCTCGGCGGCACACTAAAAATTATTCGTATATCTATCTCTTTGAAGCACAGGTTACATGAAAAGCTACAAGTGAATTATCAAAATATAGTTAACGAACTTTCATTTGAAAGTCTATGATCTGCGTTGGTACTAAGGACCAGTTAGGTAACATTTTGTTTGAGCTTGGGATACCTGTGGTTTGAAAATTAGAGAAAATAAAAGTCAGCGGTCTCTCAAATTCCAAAATGGCAGAACGAGGTGACTTGAATATTATTCTAAAAAGTAATCCGCGAGAAACCGAGAAAATTGTGTGTAAAGCAATTGAACTTGGCTATGAAATGATTGCTGTCAATTCAACTTGTGAACTTACTACAGTTAAAAGTAAGAGGGAAAAGCAGAATCCTTTGGGTTTGCCTTCTTTCAACTGGAAAGAGTTGCCTGGAATAAAAGCCTTTATGGATTCCAACCAGAATATCAATGTGTTTTCGCGAATTACTGTAAAGTTGGAAGATCAAAGTCAGCTGCATCAACTAGCTTCTAATCCATTTTCTACTTTCGACATCCTCGCTGTCACTCCAACTACAGAGAAACTGTTTCAACAGTGTTGCGGTTCTCTAGAAGTCGATATAATTTCCCTGGATATAACATCACGACTACCGTTTTATTTAAAGATCCCACAGGTTCGACAGGCTATTCAACGAGGAATCCACTTTGAAATAGTTTATTCCCCTGCCATTAGAAGCACGTCACAGAGAAGGTACGTAATCAGCAATGCATTGGAAATTGTTCGTGCTACTAAAGGCAGAAATACGTTGTTAAGCAGTCAAGCAGAATCTGTACTAGACATACGTGGCCCTAACGACATCTCAAACCTTGGATTATTATTTGGATTGAAAGAAGACCAGTGTAAAGCTGCCATATCGAAGAATGCACGTGCAGTATTGTATCATGCTAGGGGCCGTAAATGCACTGTCAAGTCAGCCATAACAGGCTGTTATATTAACACTGTTCCTACAAATGAAATGTGGAAAATCGGAAAAAGAACAGAGCATATTAGCAATGATGAAAGTGATGGGGTCCAGAAAAAAAAGAAAATCAAATTTTTGTGACATTGTCTTTCATTGTCAACATGTACCTTTAGAGTCTTGAGTTTAAATTCAAAGATTGGGATTTTTTGCATCTAGGTTACAGATACGGACTTTAACTCTTGCCTAGTTCAGAAGGATTACTAAAAAAGCTTCATTTCTTGATAAATGCTGCTAACTCAAGAAAAAATATTAACTCATCGACAGTTTATTGCTTTGGAAAATGATCTTTTCTTTCCAGTTGAAAACTGCTTTAGTTGTATTTGTGTCCCAGTCAGATTTAAATAATTTCTTATTTTTGAGCACTAAAAAAGGTGGTGTCAGGCCACCCTAATCACCCCCCTTGATTACCACTTAATTTGTCTCCAACCCTGAATCCTCCCTTCAATACAAGGGTAAGTCTTCACCTCTCCCAGAACAAATTGATTGCCTCTGTTGTTCTAAAAGAAGAATGATACTTTTTGTATTTTGTTTTCTTCTTTTGTTTTCAACAAGCCTATTGGATTACATCTTCTGATAGGCGAAAGCCCACCCCAATAGAACACCAATATCACATCATGTGCATTGCTACCAAATCTATTAAAAAAAGGAACCGATGCAATTGCCGCCTTAGAATGGTGGTGCTGTTTGCTATTACCGACCTTTTATCTATCTTTGCTGCAGTCAGAAGTCCTGCTAACCATGTTACCAAAGGATCTATTATTGTTTTGGTAGACTACCGAATGAAAACTCTGACTGGATGAGAGCATAACTACAAAAGACTTCACGTTCATGTAGATGATCTAGATGTGTTACTCTGAATACAAATGCACAACAATCCACATTATGAACAATTTATTTTACAAAGATAAACATGATTGTATTTTGGAAGAGGATGGTAATGGCAAATAATATTCCAGCCAATTTAAATGCAATTTTAATGTTTGGTACCCATTGTGTGCTCACAAGCATTTTGAGCTCCACTTGAGTCACACTTTTGCCATACTTGTGACTCACTAAATTACAAATTTAAATACTTCCATTGTTTTTTTTTTGTATCTATTTATCATGTATTATTTCTGTATTGTTTTTCTCAATTCTACCTCTCTCCATACATACAATTCAAAAAAGGCCTTCAATGATTTATTGTATAATAGAATTGTTTGCACTTAGTCTGAGAAACAGTATCTACATGACAACATTTAATACACCAGCTGAAACATAGAAAAGCAATATAAAGTCTGCTATACTTAAAATGACTATAGTCTAGTGAAACAAAACTTGACTTTAAACAGGGTTCGTGCTACATTTTCACTACAAAATTCCGTGACTTTTCAAATTTTCAATGAGTATTTTTGAAGATATTTTTTGATGTTTACAGACGTTTCAAGTGGCGATTTTCAAAAATACAAATGTAGCCTTATTTCAATCCAAAAGATAACAAGCAACATATCAATTTTATCAGATTTAAGGAGTTTTGCAGGAGTTTCAGCGATGTTTCCCATTTTCAAGGGCTTTCAAGCGCCCTCAAAAATGACTTCTTAAAACCACGACTTTTCAAGGACTTCAAGAGTAGCACAAACCCTGTGATTGGCACAGAAAACATTGACAAATTGATTTTTTTTGGCTCCTCTGCTTCAGTGACATCAACTATTTTTGTACTAAATAAAGAATTATAAAATATTTTTAGTTTTGTGTTATGGTTGTATAGCATGTTATTAAATATTTGTTTTTTTTTTTAATCTCTGAATGTTACAAAAAGAAATGTATACAAGATACAACAATGGTACAACACCATTGCCACTACCACTGCACATAAAACATTTCAACAAAGAAATCATTGTCCAGTCATGACAATCTCACCAAACTGGGATAGACTGTTTAACATTTCCTCAATCATCATCACATTCATATGCAAACATATCCACTTTAATACACTGTCATTATTATCTTAATTGATTTTGGCCTTTTGCCAGTCAAGAGAAGACAAGAATTCAAAGTAAAGCTTATTGTGTAAACTTAAAAAAGTCTTATTCTAAACAACACTGAAGATATCAAATATGTGACGTGAAATAGTTTGCAATGTTTTCAAATACTTCATTCATTAATGGACTATATTATCAGTTCATTAATCTATAATGCAAATTATACAGCTCGTTAGTTTAGTTGGTGTGGTGATGAAGTGAACTTTCAATGGACTATCACAATTCTGTGAGATCAGCAGTTACCTACATTGTTAGATGCAGACAAAACATCTACACTTGTCATAACTGCCTATTCAGTGGTTTATCCTGCAAAACCAGTTGAATTTCTGTAGCATCTAATGTTTCATATTTGAGAAGAGCTTCTGCTAATTGTCTATGTTCCTTTGCATGAGACTGAATGACATTTCTTGCTCTTTCATAGGCATCCTGTCACAAAAACACATCAAAGGTTTTACAATCATATTTGTTTGAAAATAAAAGTTATTTGCCACATCCACTTTGAAAACTTGCACAGAAGCTGAGATGAAGAAATCAGAAGATGCACTTGAAGTCAAGAAAATCAACAACCGACGACTTATTTTAATTGTGATCCTAACGTTAGATAATTTACCCCTTTTTAAATTTTAAATCAAGTGAAAATCATCTAAGAACATATACAATTATGTTTTGACTCAGCAGATTTCTTAATAGAATGAGAAATGAATTTACATATCATCATGGATATGAACCCATGAATTTTCTAATCTAAGTTTATGTGTGCTGAGGTTAATGGGAAACAGTCAAGTGTGCAGGTGCCCAAGAGAGTAGAAAGGGAAGGGTCGTCTGTAGGCCAGTTGTGGTTACATGTGGGGTAGGAAGGGAAGGGATAGGTCAAATTGTGGCATAATTAGACTGGAGGCCCAATACGACAAAATGCCTACATTGGGAGGGTTGGTATAGGTATTTGACACTGTTTGCTTGTTTGTTTGCTCCTTGTTACATGCACATACACTAATATAGTTACAAAGGAAACTAGAACTAAAATTTATGAAGTAACAATAATGAAAATATACATGCATCAGCGTACAACCCAGGAAACTACTTATTCATCCTAAATTACACACACGCGTTCTAAGGAACTAGAGCAATTGTTAATAGCAGGTGTAAAGGAGAAACAAAAAATTTAGGAAAAAAAGCCCCCAGATAGAATACATAAACACAGTTTACCGTTAATAGCTTTTTAACTTCACTTTCTATCAATGCTTGTGTTTCTGGACTCAATTGTTCTTTATCTTTTACCTGCACCATGCCAAGCTGTTTGAAACAAAAAGCAACCCTTCAAACAAAATACAACTTGTATTTTTAATAGAGTTCTACTTACTTTATCACTCATGCAGTAGTTTGTAACCATTGCTCTGGCAAGTGCTGTAGCTTGCTGAGAGTCACTAGATGCTCCTAGAGAAAAATGTTGTAATTTAAGACATTTACTTTCATTGATGTATTGTACAATCAAGACAAAATAATATTCAATATATTCTTCTTGTTACTCTCATTTTTGTGACTAGTGACTCAAGCAATGTTATTTGGCATCATGTGTGCATGAAATAAAGATGCTGAAATAATACTTGAAAATTAACAACAATGTAAAGCACAGGGAGACTCCTATAATGTTGGATCCTATAATGTCAATCAATAGGCATAATGACATCCAAAATAAGTAACTGTTATGAGTATCTATAAAAGTATTGTGACAATTCATGCTAGGATCTGTGATTCACATATCACCACAGCACTACGCCTAATCTTGTGTTACTGCATTATGCTAAGTTCTCTGATGCGCTTTGCTTACATCTTACCATTGCAATATTCTGAAACGAAATTCTTGAAATGTGCTCAATAGTTTGGCAGATACTAAACCAAATAGACCACTCAATCACTTTGATGACAAATCCTCATGGACTATCAACTTAACTCCACTGAACTCATTATTGGGTTACAACATCATATCTTGATTGACAATAACTCTAAAATAGTTTGTATCTAAGTGTCTTCTTACCTGATCTAGATCTCTAGCAGTTTAAAAATTCAACTTAAAATTCAAATTACATACCAGTTGTAACATTTTCTTTACCAAATATTACTTCCTCAGCAACACGACCAGCCATGCAAACATCCAGTTTGGCGAGTAACTGTTTTTTTGTCCACTGTAATTGATCAGCTTCTGGCAGCTGTGATACCATACCTAATGCTTGCCCACGAGGCATGATGGTAGCTTTGTGAAGAGGAAGGGAACCTACAAAATGTTATTTCCTTTCTTAGTTTATTCAGGATCATAATCAGTATTTTGATTAGTAGAACTTTAGAAAAACATTGTAGTATAAAAACGAGCGACAATAAATTGCAACGTTTCGTTGCTTGAAAATGTTGTCGGGATGACAACGAAACAATTTATTGTCACTCGTTTTTATACTACAATAAGCAGTATTGTCATCCTTTACTGCATACTGTATACGCCAAAAAATATATATATTATATATATATATAACACAGTAGATTTTAAATGTGAAACAGATCACTTCAATATACAGTGACAAGCTTTTTGCCATAACTGTGCTTTGACTTTTTGCAAAACCACAAATTAACATTTCACTAACCTGGAGTGTAGTAGGCAACAATAGCATGACCACCTTCATGATAAGCTACAATTCTCTTATTCATTTCAGTGATGACTGCACTCTTGCGCTCAGGACCTTCAGATAGTAAAATGACTATCAAATTGTATTTCAATTAAATCAGAATAGACATTGCAGTAGCCTGCATAGCAGCTCTCTAGAGAAAGAAACTTCTACTATATAAAGAACAGATGTCATAGCGGTTTAACAGATGGACAAAGCAGGGTTTTTTTTTGTTATGGCACTGTTGACTTTCCCAAGATTTTTCAGCATAGAATCAAGGCTGAATAACAATATTGCAACCAAAACTGATGAAGAAAAAACTGATGCAACATGAGAACAATATTTCCATCTGTGTAATAAACATTAAGTACATAGGATTGGTAAAGGCAGGACTAACTATATGCAAGAATACAAACCCATGATAATTTTATCTTTTGCAAATTCTAGATGATTTGTTGTAACTGCAGGATCTCCATCAGAGGCTGCTTTTATGGCTGCTTGGTTCACTAGGTTAGCAAGGTCTGCACCTAAACCATTGATAGATAATTTTGTTTAGCAATTTCCCAACATTTTGTAAAAATCAGGAATATATATTACATAATATATAATAATCAGAACCCTGAACTATTACAATGAGAAAGTCAAAACTATCCACTAGGCAAATACATAGAGACATTAAAAGACTGAGAAAAACAGTAATGGTCTGGTCATTCAAAACATTGCCATACAAATTGAGCAGCCAATGTGACAGGTGCTTAAGTGAAAAACTCTTACTTAGAGTAATGCATGTGGATGTGTTGGGTTTATACACCCCTTGCTAAAACTCTTGGCTGTTTCTTATAGGATACTTTATAGTTATTGATATGAAGTACTCTTGCAATATCAACAAACCTGAAAATCCAGGTGTACCTCTTGCAAGTACTTCAAGATCAACATCTAAACAATAAATAAACATAAAAAGAAAAAAGGTTGATCATCACTTGACTTTGAGCCTTTCATATTATTTTTACTAAAAAAGATATACCATCCGAAACATGCACATTCTTGAGATGGACTTTCAAAATGTTGTAACGGGCCTTGACATCAGGCATTGGAACATCAATCTTTGTATCAAACCGACCAGGTCTCACAAGGGCTCTAAACAAATAATAAACATAACTCAACAAATTACATGTAATCCTTTTTTCATTTCTTTGCTTCTCTTTCTTTCATGAGTGCTCACTTAAGAGGACTGCTGAAAGGTTTAACATACAATGTAAACTTAATGGTATTAATCCTTAATGCATAATTCCTATGGCTTTATAGGTTAATAGCTGTATATTACTCATTTACTAGGCTGGAACTAAAGTACCGGTAAATTATTACTCACTTGTCCAAGATTTCTGGGAAATTGGTTGCACCAATGACAACAATACCCTCAGACTTTTCAAACCTAAAGAAGAAAAATGCCAATATACATTTCCCAAAAATAGATTAGGATAGGATAGATAAACGTTATTTGCAAAACGTGTTCTATTTACAAATGTATTTTATATATTATGATATCAAAGAGGAAAGATTTTGCTGTAACTCCGAGTTTCTTGCTACGCACTCATCAGACAGTATTTATATAACTAGCTCTACAATTTAATGGGATCAGCCACTCATACGATTACAAATGTATTTATAAATGTACCAGCAACAATTTTGTTATATCTTTTAAAATCTTCAGGATATCCCCAAAACACTAGACGTTTCCATAGTGCCACAATAACATTTTAATATTGTGAATTAATTAGTAGCTGATTTTGTTCATGCTTCACAGGACTTGACTGTGATCAAACTAAGAGTAGCATTTTTATACTTTTTCAGCTAATGGTCAATCAAATAGTACTGTCAAAAAGTTATTAACTTTACCCATCAAGTTCAACAAGCAGCTGATTAAGTGTCATCCTTGAGTAAGGCTGGTGATCATTAGTAATTCTTGTGCCACCAATGGCATCAAGTTCATCTATGAAAACAATGCATGGTGCATGCTCCCTGGCAGCAGCTGAAATATTCAAGATGTGAGTGGTTTGCATAAACAATTACAAATTTAAAATAAATCTAACCATTGAGCTGACTTTTTTCCTATATTTTCTAACACCAGTGTCAATCCTAAATGCTTTATCAATTCTAATAAGCACTAGTTTTTACTTATTAGAAATAATTGATTCCTGCGAATACCCTAATATAAAACAAAGGATGAATTGTCAATCAGAGATATATATTCTTACCAAAGAGGTTCCTAACTCTTGCAGCACCCACACCAACAAACATTTCATCAAATTCAGATCCTGAGCAAAAGAAGAAAGGGACACCGGCTTCACCAGCTACTGCTTTGGCAAGTAAGGTTTTTCCAGTACCTGGAGCTCCAATTAAAAGAACACCTACACATTCATTGAAAACAAATACTCAATACATTGCTAAAAATGGATGTATTCAATAAACAGGATCCTATGACAGGAGTGTCACAGTGTCTTAATAGACATGTCTATTTTTAGATTTTTCTTTAGTAATCTTTACAGTAGTACTCTCTTAGCTATTTACTATCATCTGCCATGTTTGTTTATTATTTTAATAAAGAATATACAAAAAAATGATACGACAAAAAATAATATGTCAAAATAATATTGATATCTATACATGAGCTCACCAGTTGGCAATTTTCCACCAAGTTTTTTAAACTTGTTTGGATTTCTTAAAAATTCTACAACCTCTTGCAGTTCTTCTTTGGCTTCCTCAACCTGTGAGAACAATTTAGCAAATCCAGTCATTAGAGTGCACGTCACATATGCATGAAACAATTCTTAATATGTATTGCTAAATAAGATTTAGTTATCAACTAACTAAGAATTCAACAAAGCATAAACACAATGCCAATTATTTAAATTCCTTTGTAGCATTGTTCTCAATTCTTAGTTAGTTGATAACTAAATCTTATTTAGCACTACATAGTTAAGAATTGTTTCATGCTTATGTGACTTGCACTCTA